AGCTTTCGTGGACTACAGCCCACTTCTTAGGATGCATAGAAGAAGTGGGCTGTAGTCCATGAAAGCTTATGCTCTAATAAATTTGTTAGTCTCTAAGGTGCCACAAGTCCTCCTGTTCTTCTTTTTGCGGATACAGACTAACACGGCTGCTACTCTGAAACTGAACAAAAGCTATTCACTATCTTTCCAGCCTCACATATATAAAACTGGGACCTTTCTTTGTGGTCTTTTTTGTGATTGACCTACCCGAACAGCACCAGTAGCACATCCAGCAACAGAAATATCCACCTTTGATGGCTTCACGTCTGAAGTGCCATATCTTAATCTGCAGATGTTATAAAGGAAGTTTCTGTATGCCCCAAATGAAAAAGAAGAAACAAGCGACACTGTGGAGACTGACAGTGACATGCCTTTGTAAAATCCCCATGCCTAGTTTGAAAGAGAGAGAGAAAGAATCGATTAGAAAGGAAATAGCTTGTACTTATGCAAATGCCCTATCCAGTCTGCTCTAACACGCAATCCATTCGCTGTAGAGTCACCCTCAGCCTGCAGTTAGCTTTCTTAACAATTTAACAATAAAATAAAGTTCAACCTAAATCTTCTCCCCAGGGCTGGCTGTTTGTACAGTCCCCATTCAGGGTTGACCAGTCCTGACCCTAGGTTCTCTTTGATTACTTCTGAGATCTCTCCTCCCTTCTATCTAGAGTGGAATTGATGGGCTGCTTGCAATATGAATCAGCATGACACACTTAGCAGCTCAGCACCTGCTAACAAGTGGGTACACAGGATCATTGTTTCGGTTGTTACACTCGCTTTTATGATAGATGTAATGTATTAATCTAGATGTACTTAGTATCAGAGGGGTAACCGTGTTAGTCTGGATCTATAAAAAGCGACAAAGAGTCCTGTGGCACTTTATAGACTAACAGAAGTATTGGAGTATAAGCTTTCAAGGGTGAATACCCACTTCGTCAGACGCATGTACTTACTTTCTCTGCTTTGTATGTTTCTCGAATGCAGTGCCAAATTCCATTATAGGTCCTCTCTGTCTGAATTCTCACCTGTAAGCAAAGGACATCATATTCAGAAAATATTAACGAATACATTAATGCCACACCGTTTTATTTGCAGTAGAATCTCGTTCTCAAGCAGACAGCAGATACTATCAGATATTAATTATAGAACGCTTTTGTATAAAGAATTTGAAAGAAAAATTTACAGCATTCAGTTATATCACTGATTTACCAAATGGAGAAGAACAGGCAAGAGCAAAAAGTTAAGTTTTAGAAGTAAAGTTAAAACAAATACCTTTACTGTATCCAGTGGATAACCCACAGCAACACTTAAGCCACCTGAAACAGATATTTTATTAAACAAGGTTAAGAATGTACATAATTACAGGACCAATTTCCTAATGCAAAGGAAGTCATTAAATGAATTTCAGTGAAAGTCCGTTCCAGAAAGACAAGTTGTTTTTGATACCATATCTCTAATTTGTAGGTAACCAGAAAGTTTAAGCCAAAGATCAAGATGCAAAAAAAAGAGAGGCTGAGACAAATTAAAAGAAAGCTTTGGAGTGGCAAAGGGAACATCCCAGAGGTAACAGCAGCATAGTGCAAGCCAGGATTGTAAACGAAAAAGTAACAAATGTTGCTAGGAATATGCTATGCACAGTGCTAATGTTATGGGCTGTGGGCTGCCCTGTTGACATTGGACTTTAGTTGTGTCGGGAGTTTTAACAGGAGATGTCAAGGAAATAGTTGATCGTTTCCTAGTCCCCTGTCTTTTTGCATGTCCTTTCTCATCTTAGAGTGTAAGCTTTCTGGGGCAAGACCAAGCCTTCCTACGCAGGACACTGTGGCTTCCGCTCCCTTGGCAACACGTAGGCCTCTAGATGTTACTGAATAACCCCTACTGGAGCCTCTAGATGCTACTGTACCAGAAGTAGTAAGTAATAAAGAATGAAGCCACTCAGATATTAACTGAGGTTTACAGACTACAGGTTCCAGCCAGCAAGACTCCATCTTGATCTAAGCAGAGGTAGCCAGTGATTTCATTCTATGACTTCATAGGGCAAAGTTGGAACACATTATGGGCAGTCTTCAAGAGCCACATATGAAGCCCCAGACTAAACTACTCAATGGGAGTTAAAGGCACCCAGCACCTTCCAGGATCGAGCCCATAAAGCAATAGTGTGTTTTACATGTGCAGAGAACAGATACACGACAGTGCAAAGAAAGAGGAACAAAAACAAAGCACTAATGCTTAACCAGGAAACAGCCCTTGAAAAGGAGCCAAGCTGATTTTAGAACTGTGATGTGATGCAATGTCAGGGCAGTAACACTGTGTACAACATACAGCACAAGCCCAATGGCTGCTTTGCAAATCAGCGTGGCAGAGCTGACCTTAGGCTAAACTGCCCTTGCTGTTTCAGCTTTGGCAAGCTTCAAGTGTCACCCCACTGTGACAGTGCTGAGGAGGACTAATGATGGGGTATGCACAAAGTCAGGCTGGTCAACAGAGCTTGTCTGGATACCAGCGGATCTTTATTACCATGGTGTGACAGCAAAGACATCGCTTTTAACATTCAACAGGGATTTGTCTGCCCCAAATATAGAAACCCAGAAACATTTCTAGAGCTTAAAATAATCACTAGAGATGGAAGCTCAATCATTCTAGGAGGAAAAGTTGCTGTCACAATTTGGGCGGGTGGGCAGACAAGACACATAGTTTTCATGTAGGTTTCTTTATTTAACAAAAACAAATAGAATTTCATTACTGCCATTATGTCCACCATATTTCTCAGCCAATGGTTCTAAATGTCTCACTCTTCTGTTGATTGACACTACATCAATGCAAAGTATTTTTTGACCTTACAGCCGACTGAATAGCTAACTTCTGGTTAATACATGAACTGCACGTGACCTCAAAGGAAATCCGTCTCAGTGACAATGGAGCCGTTTCAATGGGACATTGATAGTGGCCAGTCCTTTTGTTTTGAAAACAGATTTAGTTGTCTTATTGTATTGTATAAGCCCTTTCAGGGAGCTGGGAAATTACACTGATCTGTTTCCTGGAGGTTCACCAGTTAAGAGGAGTTTGCAATTCAGCTCATTTACAAAGTTAGTGTTGGGTGGTGTAGTCACTGCACAAGCCACATTTCACCTGAAATAACACGGCCATCTTGCAGGGCCGGCTCCAGGCACCAGCCCTCCAAGCATGTGCTTGGGGCGGCACCTGGAGGGGGTTGGTGTTCACCCAGGGAGAGCGGGGCCGCAGCTGGGCTCGCCGCCCTCCCCCCGGTGCTCCGGCCAGCCAGGAAGAGCAGGGCCGCCCTCCCCCGGCATTCTGGCCGGCTGGGGAGAGCGGGGCCGCAGCCGGGCTCGCCGCCCTCCCCCCAGCGCTCCAGCCGCCGGGGAGAGCGGAGCCGCGGCAGGCTCGCCACCCTCCCCTGCCGCGCTCCCCACTGGGGGGCAGTGAGAGGCTTTTTTGCCTCGGGCGGCAAAACAGCCAGAGCCGGCCCTGCCATCTTGGTAACTGACTAGCACTGCTACATGGTGAAGTACACAGTATCTGTTTGAGTGAGTCACCAAGGTCCCAACAGCTAATCCTGTAGTGCATTGCGCCTTAGACAATCCTGGACAAGATTTACATGATCCTTGCTCACTTACCAAAAAAAACCAAACAAACCCTTTATTTTAATTTCTGTGCATGGTCCAGCCAGCCTCTCCATCAAATCTGTGCAGTAGGAAAGCTCAATAGGCAGTAACAAATAGGTCAGAAAACAACTTTTTATATGTAAAGTACATTGTGGGAAGGGGAAGGACTATCTAGAAAAGAAAAATACACAGGCAAAAGATGGAGTTTAAAAAAAGAGGAGCGTATTCAGTCTAGGTAGTGGAGCGTGCAGAGAATGAAAACATGCCCCACCCAGCCTGGCTCTCCTGCTCACTGACAGATCCTCCAGCCTGGGCCTCTTGCAAATGTACCCAGGGCAGATCACTAAGTTGGGGAGGAGGGTTTCCTGGAAACCAAGGGCATAGCAGCGAGTAAGTTACTGTGCCCTTCTGCTGTGCAGATCTCACCCACACCCAGTGTTCCCTCCGTGCATGAGCATGTCCTCAAACGAGGGCAGGATTTGGCTTTACGTGAGTTGCAAGCTTCTCAGTGGTTTAAGGTGGCACTTTTGGCTCTTGGAAGACCTTTTAAGAAAGGGCTCTTTTGTGCATGGCAGAGCTAAAAACGTAGTCTTCTGGCTGCCCCTACTGCGTTCAAGAAGGAAGAACTCCCTGCTACTTTGTGATACATGCTTGGCTCACAGGCAGGGACCAGTGCATTCCTTCCTTCCTTTTGGATTTGGGTTAATACTGGGTGTATTTAGTATCTTGATAGGGATTAATCAGCCTTGTCACACATTAAAATATGCCGAATGCAAAAACAGACACATAGGCCCTCTTACAGGGCTGTTACTGTCACCTGTCCCTCTGGATAAAACAGCTTGAGAGACTGAGAGAGTTAGTGGCCTGCAAATGAGCTAGGGATATACAAGAGACAGCTCTGTTTAACTCCACCTCCATCCCACAGCAGTCCCTCATGCTGTTCCAAGGCCATGGAACATTCATAAACTCTCTGCTGTTTCGCTCCTCTGAGTAACAGCAGCAATGGCAAATAAATTGTGAATTAGGCTGAAGTTTAGGTACACATTGTGTTGATCCCTGACTCCTTCTGCCCTGGGCTAGAATAAGACATAGATACTATTAGCCTGAGAGCTCTTGGCGTTCTGTAATTACATCAGAATCTAGGCTTTCATTTAAAAAAAAAGTATTTTCTAGCCCTCAGGGTTGGTAAGAAAAGCTTGAAAATGTGCCCTGACATATAACCAATGCAGTGATGTCTACCTGAGTCTGCAGACAGCCTTAACAATAAACAATAGATACCTCTGAGCGGGGCTGTGACCTGCCTGAAGCGTCTCAGTGAGGTGTTCTCTCCACAACTCATTGCCAGACCTGGTTCAAGGTTTGTGTTTGTTTGCACAAAAAGGGTAGAAGGAAATGTCGGGAGGGAGAGGGTTGTTTGTTTTGGTTTGGTTTGTTCAACATTTTCTACCTTTTTCATCGCACAAAGAAATAATCCAAAATGAAATTTCTCAAAACTAAACAAAAAAGTTCTTGCAAACTTTGTGTGTTCTCCCCCCACCCCAATTTTGTTTTGTTTTTATTACTTTCCCTCCCCCGCCTTCCTAATGGAAAAAAAGGGGAGGAATATGAGAGAAAGTAGGGGGAAAACAAACACTTTCACTTTTTAATTCATTTAATAGGAAACGGAGAGGCAGAGGAAGTTTAAAAATCAGGAAAAAGTGTTACCACAGTGGTAACAGTGTTTTGCGGTTGTTTGTTAAAAAAAATCTCACTGAGCAAAATTTTGACCAGCCTGGCTCACTGCTCTGAGGGCCCCACCAACACCACCTCCACCAGGGGCCACATAGGGCAGGAGAAGAGTACAGCAAACCCGGCCGATACACCCCACTTCCTAAAGTCATTACTGTAGGGCCCTGCTGCTGCCCCACTTTTCTCTCCAGGAAGGAGAGAGTCACTGCTTCTCTTGCTCTTCCTGAGAAGGGGTCCAGGCAGCCATCCCTTCCTCCACCATCCCAAGTGTGCAGCAGGAGAGGGGACACCATGAAGGGGGCCATAGAAGGCCCTATTTCTTCATGTGCCTAGGGCCCTTGGTTGATGTCATGTCCGACGGGTCCCATTTTGAGCTGAGCTCCATCACGGAGGCGACGTGGGAGCGGGAGGCTGCCCCACCACTGCACCCCAGTATTGACAACCCCAATTCCTGTGCCCAGGAGCCGCCCTGTTGTCACAGGAGGTGAGGAGAGAGTGGAGATGCCTGCATTGCTGGGCTCTTTCTGCTTCCTCCCCTCCTGAGAGAATGGTGTCAGCTGGAGGCAGGGAGGGGGAAGATCTACTTCTGCCCCAGGAGGCCAGCAAGTGGGGAAAGGAGTCAGTAAAGGGATTCCCCACATCCCTGGGCAAGGTTGAAATCTGAGCAAGGCCGGGAGCTTTTCCTCAATGCCAGACTGACTGCTGCTCTGGCTAGAATCCCCTGACTGGGGAAGACGTCAGAGGAGTTAGCCACACGGATACCCCTCCTTGGCATTTTTCACTTTGGCTCTTCTCTGCACCACGAGCCCCAAAGTCTACCAAATTCCAGGTGTGCTTTTTAGTCTCCTGAGAAGGGACTAAGCACCCAAGGCATGAAGCTTTTACACATCGGAGGTGTCCAGTCAGGTTTATCAAAGGCTGTGGAAAGCTGCAATGCTGTGAACTCCGTCACTTTATATAAATAGCCCTGGACAGTGATAGCATGAGCTGGCTGTACTGTTTACACAGCAGAACCAAACAAGAGCAGCTCTGTATAGAACACATAAGGGAGGCAGAACCTATAGAAAGACTCTGTTCAGTAAAGTGGTGCCTGGCTCCTGTAAGTTGGATAGAAGATAAACAGTGAAATCAAGTTAAGGACCTATCTGGGTTTTAATAATACCTAGCTCTTATATAGAGCTTTTCATCAGTAGATCTCAAAGCACTTTACAAAGGAGACCAGTATCACTATGCTCATTTTACATATGGGGAAACTGAGTCACAGAGCAGTGAAGTGACTTGCCTAATGTCACCTAGTGGCTAAGCCAGGAACAAAACCCAGGTCTTCTGAGTCCCTGTCTTTATGCCCAATTTGGCTGGGATTTTTTTTTTTTTTGGATGTACACAGTTATCACAGCAACTTGTGTTCCCCTGCGCCAGCAGTTCCTGATATGTAACATAGCCAGGGGTCCTGTGAGGATATGGATCGAGAAGAAGCAAACTGTGCAGGTGATCTTCAACGAAAAAATAACATAGTGGAAGACAAATTATATTAACACAACTGACTGCAATAGCTATACGTGAAATCCTGGCCTTGCTAGCACAAGGCACAGGGAGAAGCCACCACCCTGGCTCATGGGTGCTGGGGCAGGAAGATAAGCTCTGAAGATCTCCTTATGGCTGCTCTGCAAAGGAGCAGTAGAGCACAGAAATTGCTATACCAGGTCAGACCCCTGGTTCATCTGATCCAGTGTATTGTCCCTTAATGGACAATTATAGAATAACCTGCCCATAAGGGAAGTTTTTCTAACCCTGCGCAGCGTGTGGTTGGTTTATAAAGCACTAGCTATTGATGGTAGCAGTTGGCAGTGGAGCCAGGACATGTCCACAGCTGACTGGTCACACTTCCCTGAAGGCTACAGAGCAATGCCGGACATACCTTGCCTTCTGCCTAAGAGAACACTAGGTCTCTATGCTTCAGGCAGAAAAGAGCCCTTTCGGTCATCTCCACCCTGGCCTGGGCACCTGCGCTATGCAGGCCAGAAAGCAGAGGTGGACCCAGTTATATATGAAGGAAGGGATAAGCTTTCTAGCACCTCCAGCCCATGTCCTGATTACTGAAGATCTTTCTGAGCAGTGGACATGTTTACATTGGTGTCATGTTGCCAACATGTGGTGTCACAAGCGCAGGCACTGTGCATTCTCTGATTTCTCTCAGGCACATCTCATACTGTGTCACTGTGCACTCAAACCGTCCCTTGATTCTGAGCTAGTTCGATACACTCCGAAGCAACAGCAGTGGGAGGAGCTGTGCAGTAGGTTGTGTGTGTGTGCACGTGCACGTGTGAGGAGCTGCACAACAGTTCTGGGCATGTTTGTGCTTGTAGATAACTTATCACCTTGAATATTTTCACCATAGACATCAGCCAGGATTTTAAGGGGACTGTGCCTCTTTGCTATTCTCCAGTAGGAGCCAGGCTTTTCCAAAAAGCGAAAACACATCAAGGTCTTAGGAGTGCAGTTAATTAAACAGAAACGCTGTGTTGCCATTTTAGTTGTTTGATGCAAATCATCTGGGTTTGCAACATATTTGGAAATGTGAAAATACACAAGACGAGCCTGCTTCAACTCTCTAACATTTGTCAGAATCAAACATAAGCCATACACCAACTCCAAGTCTCAGAGAAAGTCAGCCACAAATGTCTGTTCTCCAAGAAATCTTTGATCTGGAAAACACCCCTCAAAGAGATAATGGCATCTCCCACATCAGACTGGTAATGATAGGCATTGGGCCAGTCCCTGACGTCTTTGAACAGACAAAATTTCCACTGACTTACATTCAAACTCTCTAGGTACTGGACAAAATATCTCAGAGGAGCTTGCTTTCTATAGGCATTGCACGTCATAGAAGAGCAGCCAGTTTGCCTTAGGTAGCAGCTAGGAGGATTCTGTATTCATAGCAATGTGGTGCATTTAAAATAAGCAAAAGTATTTCTGATTACAACCCCAGAGGGATGTCCCTCTCCCCTGATGCATCTGAGTAGGGCAGGATCCAACAAGTACTGAGTGCTTCCCATTCCCATTCCCAAAAATGCACTTACTGCACAGCTGCTGCCCAATGTGGCAGTCAGTACCAAGGTTTAAAGAATCTCTTTCATAGCCTTGCCCCAACTTCTCATTGTCAACCATATCCCTCTAGTTCCCAGGCTCCCAAAACTCCCACACAGTCTGAGATGACTGAGGACAGAGAAGGGAAGGGAACCACAATGAAGGGACGAAATCCATCTCTCCTGCTCCTGCAGTCATTCTGGATCCCACAGGACTCACTATACCTCCCAATTATTACATAAAGGGAGAGTTAAGTATGTTCTCCTATTTAAATCTCTACATGGACAATGAGCCTCTCCTGAACTGACCAGCAAAGGGCTGCCAAAGTTCAGAGGATCTGGAAGCCTGGTTGGAATTGTTTGTAGCATGTCTCAGCCATATGCCAAATTTGCCTGACCCTCTCTAGCAAAGATGACACTGCATTTCTCCAGTTCTGATCAATCTTAGCCATTTAATGCTTTTCTCTTTCAAAATCTCCCAGGTAATTAGACCATACTCTTTGCTGATCACTTGCCAAATTTCATTGTTTAAAACAAAACTAGCTTTCATATGTACAAGAACCCCGAAAAAATCTAAAACTAAGCGGTACCTTTTTTAAAAATTGGAAAATATTTGCTCCCAGATCAACTTCTGCTATGCAACAAGTCTGTGTAGTATTAACCCATGAAACTGCAAATAAAGATCAACCTAAGGTTATCCAAATGTCACTCCTCCAAACCTCCTTGTTAATTGAAACAGTCATTTCTCTGCACTATTAATTGTACTGGAAATGACCTCAGTTCTTCCTACTCTGACTGCCTAGGATATCAGATAACTGAGGCTGTACCATACCAGCAGTGTCTGCCAGTATCTGCATTCAATTTGTTCCATCTTATTGTCTCCTGCTGCCACGTGTGGGTTTTCATGTTGTTTTGCTTAATACTTTTGGAATTAGACCTGGCATTGCAGAGCAATAACCTTAGCTAACCATATGTTTAACTATATTCATTTAACAGCTCTGTACGTTTGCTGATTCTTTAAAGTAACAATACTTTTTAAAAAAGGAGATTTCTCAATAAATCACGGAAAGACTCTCAACTATAGCATTGCCATTTGTGGCATTAGGATCTGCCTTTAAATTAATAGGAAACACAGCTTTCATCATACACCATTTTACTTATTTATTTACCTCCAATGGCTCCAGCAATGAAATCCATCTGCACAGAGTCTGCTGCTTTGACTGGCCTGATCAAACGTTGGGATTGTAGAGGAGTCAAAGAGGAAAATTCAGCCTTTCCGTGCACAAGCCAACTTAAGTCCTTTGGAAATGATATAGTTCATAATATATTAAAGTTAACCCTGCTAACTCCACCTTCCTCCAGAGGTTATGTACTCTGGGGAAACTTGATGAACTATGCATGTGCAGGGAGAGACAAAGATTGAATTGGTTCCAAGAATATTGTGAATAAATAATCCCATGAAGAAATGAACCAGAACATTGACCTGAAACTTCTATTCCAGTGCCTTTTACCCTGCAAATCCCTGGGTACCCGGCCTTATAAAACAACAATGATGTAGAACATGGAGCAGCCACATCATCCCTGTTGTATTAATTAACTGCAGAAGATGGTCTTTTCCATAACTCGCCCAGGTACATCCACACACACACACAGAGGAGTGGAGAGTCCCCCACAAGCACTATTTCAAAGTAGACTCCCTTCCCAATCAAAGGCAAAGCATGCCACCCCCTCTTCCCTTGCCATTCACCCTGACCTTCCTACTTACGGTCCTGGTTCTTCAGCCTTGCACAGCACTCAACTCATCCTTGCCAAGTCTTAAAAGCAGAGGTGGATACAGTTATATATGAAGGGATTGACCATGGCTGAGTGGTGCTCATAAACACCAGGAAACTCAACCTCTGAACAGGGGAGCACTCTGGAGCTCCAGGAGGTGACCTCTCGCGTGGGAGCTCTTGGGAGAAGGAATGGGAAGGAAGCCCCTCCAGGGAAGCAGTTCCTGAGCTCCACAGGTGCCAACCTCCCACCCACAAACCTGCCCACCCTGTTGAGGAGCAGGGAGCCCCATCTGCAGGACAACTTTTTGAAGGTTGGCCATGCAGAACACATGTCCTTCCTCTCCCTGCAAGGGTGCTCTGACTTCCCACAGCATTCATAGGGTAGCATTCTGCAGCACCTCTAGTCAGTTACTGCACAGGGGGCTACAAAAAGCCTCAGTCTAGTGGGCACTCTGGGAGGGCACAGAAAAAAACAACAGTCGAGGATGGGATTAGAGTAAACTGTATGCGTTTATACGTTCGGCTGGGGTGGCAGGGAATGCTGCAGCTGAGGGGGCTCTGGAGAAGAGCTCTCCTGCTCACTGCAGTGGTCATGACTCTAGCGGGGCACCAACTGTGTCAGACCCGAAGCGCTAAAGGAGCTCCACGGTCAGCATGTATTCTCCTGCAGGAACAGTGTTTTTGACAGTGCCATTTTGGCATATCCACATGCAGTTGGAACTCAATAATGCCCTGATTAGCAGGTCGTTTTGTGTGTGTGAGTAAAAATGTGCCCCTTTTTGCCCCACCAAAAAAATTCAAAATAATTTTTTCCAGCCAGCTCTAATGTCCAGCTCTGTTGTTGGAAACTGGTGCTTTGAGTTAATTTGTGCGCATGTGCACACGCACAGCACTACATCACTGCATTCAATTCTGGTGTCCACAATGCAAAAAGGCTGTTGATAAACTGGAGCGGGTTCAGAGAAGAACTATGATAATTAAAGAATTGGAAAACCTGCCTTATAGTGATAGACTAAAGGAACTCAATATATTTAGCTTAACAAAGCAAAGTCTAAGGGGTGACTCGATCACAGACCATAAGCACCTATAGTGGGCTCTTCAGTCTAGCAGACAAAGCAAGGCATAACAAGATCCAATGACTGGAAGCTGAAGCTAGACCTAATTCAAAGAGGAAATAAAGCACAGTTTTTTAACGGTGAGGGTAATTAACTATCGGAACAGTTTACCAAGGGGTGTGGTAGATTCTCCATCACTGGCAATTTTAAAATCAAGATTGGATGCTTTTCTAAAAATTATGCTCTAGCTCAGACAGGGATTAGTTCAGAGAAGTTCTATGGGCAGTATTATGCAGGTCGAACTAGATGATTACAGTGGTCTCGTCTGGACTTATAAACTATGAATCTGCAGATCATAGGATGGGGTTTAAAGGATCAGTGGTTTAGAGGATCAGCAACTACAACACTGGTAGATCCAGACCACGTTGGGGAGAAACTGATTAAGTTTGCATTGGTTTGGGTGGATCTGTGCTAAGGAACTTGGGTCAACCTCATTCCAAGTATAATTCATCAAAGTCAGTGGAGTTACATTAGAGATAAATGTGGCTCCTTATCACAAGGGTTGCAATCAGCTTGTAACCAGTGCTTGTAAAATATCCTATCATTTATAAGCACAGGGCATTGCAAGTGCATTGAAGCTTAAGGCATTCCAATCAGTGTTATTTTGGAGACCTTTTCACGTAGGCTAGGACCACAATGTAAACTGTGCTGTGATCTCACTCCCTGTTGGCCCTCAGCTTAGTACACTCCACAACATCTCCACCAAATATGCCTGTTTTGTCTGTTCTCTGCTTCCCAAATCACATCCCTTATGACTGGTCTGTCCAGAGAGACTGGTGCATTGACATTTCCATATGTAAAACTTATGCTTGAATTTAGGCTAGCCGGCTAAGAGATCTGTTACACAATGTTTGACCACAGGCAACCTCACCAGAGCAGGACCAATTGTGCACGTCCATCAAAAGGAATTCCCTATGGGGAAAGTGATAGGGAGCAGTCCAAGTGATACCATAGGAATTTTAAATGAGACGTCAGTGGAGGTTTTAATGGGGGATGTCTTCTTATTGCAAAAGCATATTGTAACATGATCTCAAAAACCTCAGAGATTTGGTACGATTGGCTGTCGAGTAACCAGAAAGGTCACCACAGGGGTGGATTCTGTGATTAATGAGGAAACAGGAGAAGCAACAGAGGCCACCCTCTGCGTATCCACTATTCCTCCTATCACTTCACTGCTCTGCTCAGACCGGGGCTAGGAGGAACCATCTCTAGAACTCTAGAGCGTCGGTTGCCCATCCTCCATTCCTTTGCCTTTCTGCTGAAAGGGCCAGCGCAGGTGGCAATGCTGGTGGGTTCTACTGTGACAGGCACACCTGTCCAGTAGGAACTGGATTGAGACCACCAGTTCTTTTCATATAGGCCCCTGAGCCATCAGGTAACAGGAACTGCCAGTCATTTCCTATCTCGACAACATTCATGTTTATGACTTAGAGGGGGTTAGTTTTGTATCTCATTTCTGATCCCGAGTCATCTAGTCCTCCAAACCAACAAACATAACCCAAATTAAACCTGGACTGTTTTGGCTGATCAAATAGACTGTATCAAAGGTAACAACACTGATATCAGCTGCTTAATCAGGAAAAACACTGGAGCTTTGCTCCAGTGCCCCTTCTGAACTAGAAAATGCAAACTGAATTTTACCATCAGTTCATTGTTTATCAATGTTGACACTTTCAATATTTTCTGGGGTTTGGGTTGGTTTGTTTTCCAATTATTTTAATTTGGGGGGAGAGAGAGGAGTGGCTTTAATATAGGTGGGTGCTGGTGCCAGTAATTTTTCTGTGCTCAGACACTGTGGGGCCAAGGGAACTAATCTCTGAAAATTTAGCCATAGCTAGCAAAGTTCAGTGAGATAAGAGAAGCCAACACTAAACATTGTCAATGTAAACGGTTCAATAAGGTTAGTTGGGAATGGAAAAGTAACAGACCATGAATGGATGGTGACTGTTCTGTGCTGTACATGGAAGACTGACCTCAGGCCTACTGAAGGGGAAAGGGGAAACCAAAGTGGGAGGGGGTCAGCTCATGTTTCGCACAGTAGAACTACACCAGTTCTGATGCCCAGGTGGCATCCATATCTGTGGAGGAGTGGGCTGGATTTCCTCTGAATGAGCATGGAAACCAAAGTCCTGATCCTGCAAAGTACTTAAGCATGTGCTGTGTCAACATGTACTTATGGGCTTTGTTGGATCAAGACCTGAATCACACATTTCTAGCAGAGATTACACCAGATCACATAGGGTTGCCAACACTGTATTTCAAAAATAAGGTACTGTTTTCTTAGCATCCCTATTATCAATCAATAAATAAATAAATAAATAAATAAGTACTCACCTACATTTGCCAGGGGTATTTCTTGATGCTTTTTGCAGCACTCAACTACTCCCGATCTTGCTGTACAGAAATGAAAAAATAAGGGACTGTTGGCAACCCAGCCTGAAGGGATAATTGCACTGCCCCTCCCTCTGGCATACCTGGTTCACTGGTAAGCTGAGGGCTTTAGTTCCCAGTGCTGTGGCCCTCATCCTTTTCACAAGCACCAAATTCACTTCAAAGAACATAGTTCAGATGAATATACTTATCAATGTCCCCTTGTAGAATTATAGCATCATAGGTTACAGCAAGTGGGGAGTAGATGGGAACTAAAGATTATTCAAAGGATTTATATCAAATTTTAATTTTTGTTAAGATGGGCCATTATTTTCCAACCTGAAAAGAACTTTTACTCCACAATATAGTATCATGTGAGTACAGCATGAACACAAAGAGAAAAGTAAAATATTACCTAGGGAAGTAGCAATGTAACTGCTACACACGTGCTGAGTTATTCAGTAGCCATCCCTTGTTATATTTAGTAACCCTACATGATTTATTAACAGTGCTTCACCCACAGTCCATGTGATTAATCAAACATTTCCAAGTATGGTAAAGGGTATCTTCATTTGCATTCCTTCCATCATTCTTTCGCAAGCAGCTGCCTGGGGCAAGTGAAAAAATCCACATTATTCCTGCTATCAAAGAGCTGTCACTTACCTCCTGCCACCATTTTGAAAGCAGTATCAGCATCTAGAAATACCAAAGAGAGAGAGAATATTATCTAATGGAATTTTCTGACTCACAGATATAAAGTCATCAATATTAGGTCTAACAAATATGTCACCCTTGAATTGTACAAGCCTAATCAAGGATTTTTACCTTTATTAACTGTGAATAGAGATGGTCAAAATGTGATTTTTCCCTCTCAGGAAAACAGAAGAACATAAAACATAAGAACGGCCACCCTGGGTCAGACCAATGGTCCACCTAGCCCAGTATCCTGTCTTCCGACAGTAGCCAATGCCAAGTGCCCCAGAGGGAATGAACAGAACAGGTTATCATCAAGTGATCCATCCTGTCACCCATTCCCAGCTTCTGGCAAACAGAGGCTAGGGACACCATCCCTGCCCATCCTGGCTAATAGCCATTGATGGACCTATCCACCATGAATTTATCAAGTTCTTTTTTGAACCCTGTTATAGTCTTGGCCTTCACAACATCCTCTGGCAAAGAAAAATATTGAAGCTGTTCTCATTTCACAGGGTGAAAAATGGGCCTTTTTGTCATGATATTTTTGCAATCATTTTCATCAAAATGTTTATTGAAACTAGGGCTAGAACAAATGAAAGAATGTTGATAACCATTTTGATAGTGGTTTTCTATCATCATTTTGAGAAAACAAATATCATGAGAAAAGAACATTTTTATAAAGTCGTCAATTTTCCAAACAAAAAAAAAAATTCAGTTAAGAAAAAAAGCCATTTTTAGAGAAAATTACTTTAGTGTTTGAAAAATGTCAACGAGTTCTGTGAATGGCTACCCAACAAGAAGCTCTTTCTGGGGGACAGACTGCAGATATTTGTACTGGCATAGCTATATCAAAGCTTGCCGGTGCAAACTCCAAGTGTATACACACTGAACTGGTGTAAACTGGAGCTGCAACAGTGCAGCTTATTCTTGAATCATATAGATTCTAAGGCCAGAAGGGACCATTAGGATCAAGATGACTGGTGCCTCCCCATACTGGACATGTGACTGCCCCTCCCCTTGGTTGCCGGGGACAGGGGCCGAGCATGCCAGGTGGGTGACAGGGGGCTCCGGCTCGCTCAACTCCTGTCCCCAGCAGCAGAGCCCTGGCAGGGAGCGGGCCGCTGCTGCCTTCCAACAAGGCTCTCTCAGGCAGAAGTGGCTCCATCCCGCTCCCTGCCCGGCTGCCAGGGAGAGCGGCTGAACGTGACGGAGGAGAGGTGCAGGGAGAGAAGGACAGAGCTCCTCTCCTTCCCCACTCCCAGCAGGCCAATCGGGTGCACTTGACCCTGCATGCCTCCCCTACACATCGCCTCTGATTAGGATCGTCTACTCTGACCTCCGGTATAACAGAGGCTGTAGGACTTCCCCAAATTAATATCTAGAGCAGAGCTTTTAGAAAAGAGAAGGTTACTCATCCTGTGCAGTAACTGAGGTTCTTCAGGTGTGTTTCTCAATGGGTGCTCCACTGTAGGTGCGGCAGCACCCCCTGCACCTAGGATCGGAGATCAGCAGCAGCAGTGGCCATCAGACTGCACATGCGCACCTCCCCCATCTCACTTCATGAGCAGGACATATATATATAGTGCTTGGCAGGCTGACCACCCCACCCACCCCCAGTTTCTTCCTGCCGCAGAGCTTATGTTTCAGCTCCGAAGCAGAGGGGAGGAGGACAGGTAGTAGAGCACCCATAGGGACACACATCTAAAAGAACCTTAGTTACTGCACAGGGTGAGTAACCTTCTCTTCTTCGAATGAGGGCCCTATGAGTGCTCGACTGTAGGTGACTAGGAAGCAGTGCCCCTAATAGGAAGGCTGGGCCTTTGGAGCAGCATTTACTGCCAATGATAGGACGGCATGCCCTAGGACAGTATCTGCTGTGGTATAGTGATGGGCAAAAGTGCCCACTCATGTCCATGTGGCCAGTTTGTAACTGTCAGCAGTAAGGACATTATTGAGAAAAGCAATGGAGGTGGTAAGTGGAATGTGCTCTAGTTCCAGGAGGAGATTGTCCATTGTGTAGGTGGTAGGATAGATGTATACACTGCAAGATCCACTTGGAAAGCATTGCTTAGAGATGGCTACGCCCTTGGATCTTCCGGCCATTGAAAGGAGTAAGTGTGGCAATTTTCGGAAAGGTAGAAAGCTAATGCTCATCTGACATCCTAGTGTGCAGCGCTGCCTCCTGTTGGTTGCTATGAGGCTTTGGAAAGAAGCAAGTCAGGTAGATAGATTGATTAAGATGGAAAGAGGATGGTACTTTGGGTAAAAAATTTGGGGTGTGGACATAACATAACTTTGTCTTTATAAAAAATGTATACAGGGGGTATGCCATAAGTGCTCCAATTTCATCAGCCCATTGGACACAGGTAATAGCAACAAGAAATGCTGTTTTCGTAGATAAGTGAAATAGGAGCACATTGCCATTGGTTTAAACACAGAGCGTAAGACAAGGCCAGAGTCCCTGGCCAGGGTTGAATCTTGTATGTGAGGGTAAAGATTTTGGAGACCCTCCAGGAAACTTTTTGTGAGTGGGTGTATGAAGACAAAGTGGCTGTCTATGTGGCAATGGATGGTTGTGATGGCAGCCAAATGCCCACAGATGGAGCTGGTGGATAATCCCAATTGTTTAAGGTGTAAAATATAGTCCAGGATAAGTGGTAATGGAGCACTCATTGCGCTGACATGATGGGAGACGCACCAGCATTGGAATCTAGTCCATTTTTGGACATTAGTTCATCTAGTCATGTCACGTCTGCTATTCAAGGGTACCTGTTTAACTGCTTCCAAACAGGTTATTTCCGAATCCCAGAATCATAAAGGAGCCAGGCTTTCAGGTGGAGCAATTGTGGATCAGGATGGAGGATACGACCCACATCCTGTGAAAGGAGTCACGGACTCAGATGGCAAGAGATTGGAGGGCACATCGTCATGTGAAGGAGATAAGTATACCAGATGTGTTGTGGCCATGTCCGAGCTATAAGGATGACAAGGGCTCAGTGCTCCTGTATCTTGTGGAGCACTTGAAAGAGCAGGGGGAAGGGAGGGAAGGCATAGAGTAGTGGCGCATCCCATGTGATGAGGAATGTGTCTCCCAGAGATCCATGTCTGAGTCCCACCCTGGAGCAGAATTGAGGGCAGTGGGCATTTTGCGGTGTGGCAAAAAGATCTATGGTGAGGAATCCCCAGCAGTGGAAGATAAACTAAAGGATTTGCATATCCAATTCCCACTCATGATTGTGGAAGAATCTCCTGCTCAATGAGTCTGCAGTGTTGTTTCCTGGTGTCCAGGGACGTATGTGGCTGAGATGGTAATGTTGTGTTGGATACACCAGTTCCATAATTTCAGTGCATCCAAAAAAGGTGGGATTTCACTCCGCCTTGCCTGTTGATATAAAACATGCAGATGATTTGTCCATCCGTCATGACTCTGATGGTGCAATGTGAGATCAGTAGGAGAAAATGTTGGCAGGCATTGCGGAGAGATCATAGCTCTAGAAGGTTGATGTGTAGGGTGGGTTCGGCTAAGGACCATCTGCCCTGCACTGTATGAGTGTGAAGGTGCACTCCCCAACCGATTAAGGAGGCTTTGGTTGTTAGAATCGTGGTCGGCGGGTGCTGGTTGAAGGAAAGGAATCCCTACACAGACGTTCTTGGGCTGTGTCCACCACAGTAGCGAGTCCTTTATCTTGGCACAGATAAGAGTTTGTGCAGGCTGTGTCTGTGAGGGACATATATTGTACGTAGCCCCACCTGAAGACACCACATGTGTAACCGTATAACCATAAGTCAGCAGCAGCAGTAGGAGGCAGAGGATGAGAGCCTCATCAGGGGAAGAAGAGGAGAAATGTAATGGAGCTTCCTCCTCCTGTTCTTCCTCTTCATCTGTTACCAGGGGAGGCCTGGTCTCTGGTGGAAGAGAAATTGGTGGAGAAGGCAAAGATGTAAGTCTCTGGATTTTGCACCAGAGGTGGCTTCCTGAACTGGGCTCTGTACCTGGGCCAGGGGAATCGGCATGGCCAATGTGGAGAGAGTGGAACGTTTGGGGTTGCATCCACAGTGGTCCATACCAGGGTTCTGGTCCAGGAGTGGATTGTGAATAGTGCGGACATGTAGAGGAAGTCGTTTGCACCTGTCTTGAACAAGAGGGTGTGATGGAACACTCCTCCTCCTCTTCTTCCTCCTTGTCACTGGGGAACAGGGTTGTGGTCCTCAAAGAGAAAAGGGAAGAATGTCATGAGCCCAGAGAGGAGGGTGGAAGTGGTGGGAGGTCATGTTTGAGCAGTGGTGACTCAGGCACGTCAGATACAAGTAGCTCTTTAGGGTATCTGAACTCCTGGGGAGGAGGTAGGAACATCATCTGCATGGGTGCAGAATCAGTGCAGAGGAAGAGATACAGTCTCTTGAGCAGCCAGCAGGTGGAGCTGAAGATTTGCTCGGTGCCGACAGCTTCATCAGTGCCAACAGTTTTGTTGGTACCTTAGGGCCCAAAGTTGGTCTTTCTTGGTCTCCAGAGCTGAGAGATGGTGTCACGGGCTGTAGGTCTGCCCAGTTAGGGTCTTTAGACTGTTGTTTTGTTCCTGTACTAGAGCTATTCAAACAGGCCCTGGAGCTGTGTCCCATGTCCAATGATGTCGAGGTGACTGACCTCGCAGGGGATGGTGTTCTAGCGGGCAGTGCCTCAGGGAGTGATGAGGGAGCCCATTTCTTCTCGTCAAAGCAGGAAAGTCACATATGGGGAGAGTCCAGGCCCTGGTCCGATGCTGGATACAGTTATTTCTCCATGAAGAGAAGTAGTAACCAAATGTCCCGGTCTTTTCTAACTCTGGCAGTCAAGTCATGGCAGTGGGAACACTTTTGTGAGACATGTCCTTCTGCAAGACAGCGAATATACTGTGGGTAGCCATCTGTTATCAGGAAGGTGAGTTAGCAAGAGACGCACCTCTTAATCCGGGCATAAGGGTGAGAAAAAAGCTTCCCAATCGGGAAGGGTGGGAAGCCAG